CCCCATTTGTTTATTAAATTTTTTTTTTTTTTTTTTTTTTTTTTGGAATTTGACCTATTAAGAGTAAGACACAAAGGTTTCGTTTTACCACATAACCACACTGAGCATGAGCGATGGACTGCTGAGAGGCTTCTTTCTCTGCTGTTGGTTTCTTTGTTTTGGACAGTTCACCTAAAAAACAAACAATGGGAGACAGAAAGTAAGGCCAGTTGTCTGTTGTGTTGCACTTGAGGGCATAAAACTGAGTGAGTGTGTAGCTGCGTTTGCGCTGAGCACATTAAAAACTACGCTGCGTGCCGACACATTCTTAGTCCCATCACACTTCCTTCTTAATGTGCAAACCTGAAACACTAGGTAAATGCACACACTGGGGTGGCAGTTGTTACACGTAAACACACAAAGGTGGGATTGATGTCTTGATGGTAGTGAACTGCATTCTCTTATTAAAATTGGACTTAATCTTGGACTTAGTTTTATCAAAAATATTTTAATTTTCCCCCCTTTTATCTGTACAGAGCCTCAGACAACTCTGTCTGTTTTCACATGTGTCTGATTATTATGTTTTCTCTGTGTAACAGATATAAACGGCGAGATTAATGTGAATGGCACAACTACTGTACTTGGATCGGGTGTGCCTAGCTCCCTCCCACCCACAGCTCCTTACCCGCGCATGAGCAGCCACCAACAGAGTAGCAGGGGTTATGAATACCTGTGGGGAGGGCATCCTCAGTATGGTCCATCCATGGGCACATCTGCAGGGCATGGACTGCACCAGAAGCAGCCGGCGGCTGGGATGGCACAGCCTCAGTCACAACACCACTTCCAGGGTCATGGACAGTACCAACTGAATGGGAGTGTGGAAGGCTCCCACCAGCCCCCGCCGGCAGGGCCACCAAACGTGCCCCTTCCTGGCAGTCAGTTCTGGAACAGGAGTAACCCAGTCCCTCAGCAGGTCGGCTACAGTATTTATGGAACTTACCAGAGCCAGACACAGCATGGGATTACACCACCGCATCACCAGCAGTCCTCACACCCCACCGTACATCAACCATCACAGCAACACCTCCAGTCACACCGCAGCCCACACCACCACCAGCAGCACCAACAACCTCAGCATTATGGTGTGATCCCTAATGGAATGCCCTTGTACCAGCATCAGCCCCAGCACCTGACCATGTCATCTCAGCAGCAACAACCACCACCACCACCACCACAGTCACCGACTCAACGCCAGTGTCAGTTGAGTCCTGCTGCTGACCAGAGTTTTGCCTCACCTCACGGCAGTCCGCAGCATCACAGTTCAGGCACAGTGACCACTGGTAGCCCTCTACCTGAGGGGATTTCATCAACAGTGATGTCGCCGCCAAAAGGCCTGCACGGTGAATCACCCAAGATCCAGAACAGGGATGGCAAAAAGCCATCTGTCATCCAAGGTAAAATATATATATATTTTTTTTCATATTTCTGTGAAGCAAAACGACTTTCAGCTTTTCCTTCTTAGAGGGTGGGGGGTGTATCAGGGGTCAGCACATGGTGATTAGGCCCCTCCCGACACCAGCCTCCCACTGGGTTATTTTGACAGTTAGGGTGTAAATCAATGTGTGACTAAAATTTAGTCTTCCTCTTTTGGCCACGCTGGAGCTTACACACTTCCTGCTTGTGTCGCAGTTCAATTCAAATATATTTGCAGCCATGTTGTTTAAAAAGAATCATGTTGTTGAGCTAAATATTTCATTTTTAAGATTGGAGTATTCGTAGCGCAGTTGGAAAGAGTTGAGTGATTGTTCCGTTGTTGTCATCGACAATAATGCAACAATACAAAGTTGTCTCATCTAACGTGGTACTGAAGTGAAGGTGTTTTTGGTTCTGGGGTCAAACTAAGACAAAATTAAGCATTGGCTTCTTTGAAACTTCATGTTAAATTAGTATTTGGTCAGTTTGCCTGTTTATGCTTGACTTGAGGTGTAGTACCAGTGTTTAACCAACAGATGTCTCTCGCAGCAATAGCCAATGAATGCTGACTTGAGGTGTAGTACCACTGTTTGACCAACAGAGTCTCTCGCAGCAATAGCCAATGAATGCTGTGTGAAATCTAAGTGGGGCATGATTGTAGATCTTTCCAGTAGTCGGAGCATTGCTCTCTCTGTATATTATTATATTATATTATTATATAAGTGATAAATGTTGTGATTATGATTTGATCAATAATTTTCTTGACAATTTGTCTATGCAGACAAGTAGGCGTGAGTAAAGTGTGGAGCATGTGATTTTAGTAGGGTAGGCGTGAGTAAAGTGTGGAGCATGTGCAGTTCATTAGAACGTCAGGACTGGTACTGGTACTGGGTGACCCGTTCACATTGTTAGTGTAGTAAAATGAGTGTTAAAACCACGTGGGTAATTGAATAATTCTGTTGGTTAATTCAGGGTTTGTGAATGGGTTTGTATTACAGGGTTACTAACCTGTACTAACTGCTGCTAGACTAGTGTAACTGCAGGCAGGTCCGTTAGTGTGTGACTGTTTACTAAGAGAAGAAAGTTTTGTTACTGTGTGACTGTTTACTAAGAGAAGAAAGCCATGAGTTTTATCCACCTTGGCCTCATGTGTTGACTGTTTTTGGTTGATCGTCTTTTAGGGAACACCAAGGAGTCTGTCAGGGAGGAGGACACGAGCTACAATGGCAGTGAAAAGGCGGTAATTGCACAAAAACTACCCAAAACGGACGGCTCTTCATCCAAACCTCCGGCAGCTTATGTTGGTTCTCCAAGTGATTTCAAACGGAACTCTGACCAGTCGGCAGCTCAGTCTCCAGAAAAGGTTTCTTCGATCAAAGATGCAGCCCTTAATCCACCTCCTGGGTTTGCTTCATCTCAGCTCTCAAAGTCTTCATCCCCGGGACCGGTGTCGGTGTCGCTGACCAAAGGTTCTGTACCTCTGTCTGGATCAGGATCTCCTGCATCTCCACCTGCTGTTTCATCCACTCAGTCACAGATGTCTCTGTCGTTCAACGTCTCCTCTCTTCAGTCTCCATCCTCTCCTTCAAGGCGTTCCTCTCCAGGCCTCAGTCCTCTCCCTTCTGAAATGGCTCCTGCTGGACCTAAGATCCTGTCGGCATGGCCTTCTTCCTCAACCTTACCAACATCTCCTCCAAAGTTGTCTATGCCTTTTTCTCTGAGTACAAGTGAACCAAGACCTGCCTCTTCTTCTCATCCTCCACTTGTTTCTTCTTCAGAGTCTGTGATCCGTCTGTCCCCTTTACCTCCTGTACCGTCTGGACCCAGTACAGCCGTCTCAGCATCTGCTGCCATCACGTCTCTACAGCAGATGGTTCAAGGAGCTTACATGTCCCACAATTCCATTTCTTCTAGCACCCAACATAACAGGCCCCACCCCCCTAAATTAATATCCACCATTGCATCTGTAGGTCCTAGCAATCCATCAGGTCATCATGGTCTGGTCCAGTCTTCTTCGTCTACGTCTGCAGCAGTGACTTCTTCACTTGAACACAAACCTTCAGCGCCCACGCTCATGTCCCATTTCCAAACACGCACTCCTCCGCCTCTCAAAAGTGGTCTTTCTCCTGCTGCACCAGCTCTGTTGTCAGATGTGGGCTCGCCCTTAGCCTCAGCTCATAAAAGCCCTAAGGTCCAACCTCTGCCTGCCCTACCTCTTCTGAACACTCAAGCCTCCAGGACTGCACTTCTGTCCACTCCTCATGCCTTGATGTCCTCGTCTCCAGGAAGGGGTCTGTCCTCACAGGTGGTTCAACAGTCTAGCTCTCAGCAGCATCCGCCCAACACCAGTGCATGTGTGAAGCTGCCTCCCGACCCAGAGGGCTACACCGCCAGTGAGGAGAGGAAAGTGTTGGCAAATAACAGGAATGAAAAAGATGAAGAACAACACTGTCATCCTCAGTCGATATCTAAGACACCTCAGGAGGTAGAACTGACTGAGAGCCGTAACTCTGACACGTTCTGTCACAGATCCTTCTCTGATCTTCCAGGAAAGCCTTTTCAAACCGCGGCCTCTTCTGATCCAGCTGCCAGCAACAAACAGGAGGGTGATGAAAAGCAGCACACACAGTCTAGTGCAGCTGTCATCCGTGAGACTGAAGACTCCGGGGTGGAGCCAAGTACCACCAGAGAGCTCTCACAGTTCCACACTTCCAGGGCAGAACATCCGACTGAACACGGGTTCACCACGTCTCCACCTGCCGCTCCCCAGCCTGATAGTGGTCACAGGGCTCCTCAGGCCGAGGCCAGCTCGGTCCACGATGACACATCTGTCATGGACGACGACAGCTCGTGGGTCAGTGACTCTTACAGGAGCTTTCAGTTGAGAAGCGAGACTTCTGAATACTACAGCTCCTACTGTACGAAAGACGAAACATCTACAGCGTTTGACACCACCAGGGACAGCCACCTGTTGACAGGAGACTCCAGAGAGGACACGCTGGACTCCACCAGGGAAGAGGAGAGCTCTGAAGATGACCAGACAGGAGTCAGTCACCACGTTGAAGGAGAATCAACGCTGAGCTGCTCCTTCAACAGCAGCGCTCAGATGGAAGAACCTTCTGTGGACGCAAGTGACGGGTCCAAGTCACACATTGGTCATCCAGGTACTTACATTACTTAGAAGTGTTTTTTTTTATCTCTGCCCTACAGTGAGTTGATGTTTCCACCAAATCCTGATTCCAGTATTGGTTCAACCCTCAGGGAGGACGTGGGGACGACCAATGTTACATCAACATCTGTTGCTGCTGTTTATCTTTGTTTCTCAGTAATTTTTCTCTCTGTTGAATCAGAACCAGGACCAGACTGGGAGACCAGGGTACCCGAGACCCCAGACGTAGCTGGACGGCTGCACATCAAAGCCCCCGTCGACGAGTCGTCGCCTCTGCCCACGTTTAACATGAGAGAAGAGAACTTCACCTTCAGCACTCCAGTGGACAGCCGAGGTCTGCCGCTAATGCCCCCAGTAACTGATCAGAACGCGTCTGCTGCAGAAGAACAGCAGGCCGCCGTGGGAAAGCCACGCAAACAGCGAACGCCCAAAACTCTGTGGATAAAAACTCCAGGTATTTGAAGTTCTGGTTTCAGCATTATCGGGTTTAAAAAAATGGTGGATTCGCTTAAAGTTTCTCCTTTGTTTATCCCCACACTTCAGTTCCTGAGGAGGCCCAGAGAAAACCTCGGGCACGAACCCCTAAAGCAGAGAAGGTCAGCAGCGAGGCGGAGAAGACCACAGGCACCAAGAGGAAGAGGAAGTCGTTCCGAGCGGACGCTGCAGGTAAAAGCTCCGATGAACCAGGAGAGGCTGGCACTCAGACCACGCAGGTGGATTCAATCACAGCCACCATTGAAGCCGTCCTGGCAAGTGCATCTGCCCTCGCCCCGTCGTACCAGAAGATCAAGAAGGCGAAAAGACTCAAGAAGGAGGAACAAGATGGAAACGTGCCGAAAGACCAAAAGGCCGAGGACGCCGAGGAAAACGATGACGGCTCCGGTAACAACACTGGTCTTTTTTTTTGTTTGTGTGTTTTGTTTCAACCTGATGGTAATTACAGCTAATTCTGTTCATTTACATCGAACAGGTGACACTAACAGGCGGAGAGTTGCTACAGAAGAGCAGGTCCAGTTTGCTTTGCTCCATGGGTAATTATTCTTTCAACTTCAAACAGATGTGATTTAGAAAGATATTCATTCTTAAAATATTTTTTTTCTAATTAAAATTATATTGAAACATATACAGTATGTTGGGGGAAATTTCAGCAGCTTGAATTTATGTTCGTTTTCAAACTGTAGCTGCATTACTGCCACCTATGGGTTGGAGTGTGTGCGTCGTTTTACAAACTTTATTCTGTTTTACAAACTTTTAAATATATCTTAAATTCCAGCTTTAGTTTGTTTTATTGTGGAATTTAAAATCTGGATCTATGACATTAGTGTGACGATAAACTTCTTGAACCACAGGTGGAAACGAGAGATTCGAGTAAAGAAAAAAGAAAACCGCATGAAAGGTGAGACCTGGTACTACACCCCGTGTGGCAGAAGGATGAAGCAGTTCCCTGAAATCCTGAAGGTACTTCTGGTTTCTTTACAACAGGCAGAAAGCCAATGTTAACTTGGGTTCTGTCACCAACAACCGATGTTTGCTTTTGTCTCTGTCTCGTCTTCTGCTGCGTCCAAACGACTTTGCTCAGTATCTGAAGAAACACACCGACAGCGTGGTCACCAGGGAACATTTCAGCTTCAGCCCACGGATGCCCGTCGGAGACTTCTACGAGGAGAGAGAGACTGCTGAGGTTGGTCTGGTTCTTCTGTAACCGTCGTCTCATGTATGTGTGCACTTCAGGTTTACGTTGTCATAGTAACGTGGTAAGAATTTGTTATTTAGAAGAAGAATACGTACATCTGGACATAAGAAATTTAGCCTTTGGGATGTTTCCAATTTCCCTCCAAGATTTACCAAACTGAGTGACAATTTTGGACTCAAAAAGCTCAACTGAACGAGATCCAATCCAAACTGTTCTGTCACGGAGCTCAACTGAACGAGATCCAATCCAAAAATGCCATTAAGATACTGTTTAGTTGCAATATAGCATACAATTATTTTAATTATTAAGTGGATGTGAACCAATTCAAGTTACAAACCAATCTTTGGTGTCATTTTATGAAAAATAAAATGTCAAAAATGTGTGATGAACTGTTTGATGCCGTGTTTCAGGGCATGAAGTGGTTCATCCTGGCCAACGAGGAGATTCCCTCCATGATCATGGCCATCACTGGCCGACGGGGCCGACCTCCGAACCCCGATAAAGAGAAACCAAGAACAATTCGAGGCGTGAGAGGAGCGGAGGGTCGGCGTCCTGGCAGACCCCCCAAAACCAAAATGATTGACCTCCTCACGAAGGTCGACGCCAAGCTGCTGCAGAGACTAGAGGCTAAAGGTGACAGACCTGTGGAATATGAAGATGTTGTATGTCCTGACCTAAGATCATGTGACTGAACTGTGTGTGTCTGTGTTTTATAGAAGCTCTTGTGTGTGTGTGTCTGTGTTTTATAGAAGCTCTTACAGAAGAAGAGAAGGAAAAAATGGCCAAAATCAAAAAGAAAATGAAGAAAAAGGTGTGTAGTCCAGACATTACACACAATGTGATAGTTTTGATATTTGGGATTCATTTGTTTAATTTTTATATTGTTTTAATTTAGGCAAGAATTAAGAGAAGAGAGGAGACAAAAATGAAGAAGATGAAGGAAGAAAAAAAGAGAGCCAAGATTAAGGTAATTATTCAAATGATTCAACTGACTGTCATCGAGCTCCACTGGTTTCATTTTTTCAGTAGTTTTCAGTTTTTGTTTATGTACAAACCTTTTTTCTACTCAAAGCTTGAACACGATACAAAGGGCCCGGAGGCCAAGGCCGACGGTACCACCCCAACATCTCCACGGGGTGCACTGCCAGCGTCAGAACCCAAGAAGCCCGGCCGCAGGAGGTCAGTGAAGGTGGAGCCTCCTCCAGTTCAGCAGACAGACGAGGAGAGGATCGCCCAGGGCAAGAGGGTCCTCGGGGCTCGGAGCAAAGCCAAGGCTCTGGCCAAAGCTCAGGCCGAGGCGGAGGCCGCAGCAGAGGCCGCAGCTCGCGCTGCTCTGTCTGCGAAGAGAGCCGCCGAGAGGAGAGCCCAGGCGCAGAAACGCATGGAGGAACGGAAGAGGCAGCAGCTGATTGCAGAGGAGCTGAAGAAGCCCACTGAGGACATGTGCCTCACGGACCACAAAGTAGGATTGAAAATCTAACAGAGCAAGTCTGCAGTAGTCTTCTACAGTCCTGGTTGGTTCATGATCACGACCTTTGAACTCTGTCTCCCTCACAGCCACTGCCAGAGTTGTCTCGTATCCCCGGGGTGGTTCTCTCCGGCACAGCCTTTTCACACTGCCTGGCTGTGGTGGAGTTTCTACATGGCTACGGGAAACTGCTCGGTCTCAATGTGCCCAAGGACATCCCCAGTCTCTCGACCCTACAGGAAGGTCTCCTCGGTCTGGGTGACGGTCAGGGAGAAGTCCAAGACCTGCTCATTAAGCTGGTGGAGGCTGCGCTGCACGACCCGGGCCTTCCATCCTACTATCAGGTAGGAGATTAGAGTTGGAAGTAGGAAACGATAAGTGACAAATATACAGTACTATGTAAAGTACTACCACTAATACTACTATGTACCGTATACATTAAAGCAAATATAGAGAACCTGTTATACCCATAAATACATATGCATGTATATATATACATATATTTGTATATATTACATGGTTAGAAACGGTATAAAAAGCCTCTCTGTCGTCCTGTCAACCCTCAGTCTGTCAAGATCCTCGGTGAAAAGCTGGTGGACTTGGAGCTGACCCGCAGCACAGTTTCTGAACCTCTTCGCATCTTTTTGGAATCTCATGGTTATGAGACGGAGGTGTGCAACACACTGAGGACCAAAACATTTCATTCCCTGCCTCCAGACACCAAGGCGGCCATCTTGGGTTTCCTGGTCGACGAGCTGAACGGCAGCAACGCCGTGACGAGGTTAGACCTGGAATGTTGGGATTTTTTAAAAAAAATAAAAAACACTTTTGTTTTTAGTGACATTTTAAAAGAAAACACTTTTGTTTTTAGTGACATTTTTACATGATTGTCTCGCTTTGTGGTTACAGCGACGTTGAGAACACACCAGAAGACATGGCAACCTTAATGGCAACCTTCAGGAAGAACAAGTGGATCATTGAGGGGAAGTTGCGACGGTAAGATTACAGCCATCAAAAATATTAAAACCCTCAGATCTATAACCAAACCAAATCAGCATCTCCGTTATTGTCAACGTCTGCGTTTTTTAGGATAAAGGCTGCGCTAGCTCGCCGTACGGGACGCTCAGAGGAAGAGCTGTGCTTCGAGGAGCGGCGGCGCAGTGCTCGAGTGGCCGAGGAGGAAAACCTCAGTCTGGAGGAAGGCGGCTCAGAGAGAGGAAACCGGCGTGCACGCAAAGAAGAGCCGAAGCTCAGCGATGTAAGAGTCGCCACTGGGGGCACTGACACCAAGAAGTCAGAAGTTCTTCAACTTAATCAACCGACTTAAATAAACTGATTATTTATATTTTCTCTGACAGATGGAGAGTCCTACCAACGCCAGCATTCCAGAACTTGAACGACAAATCGATAAGCTAACGAAGGTAAGACTGCTGCTGCACAGGTGTGTTGTTGTTGTGTTTTTATTAACACATTAATGTTTTTATTTTTGTTTGTTTTTTCTTCCACAGCGCCAAGCATTTTTCCGTAAGAAGCTGCAACAGTCTTCGCAGTCTATGCGGGCAATCTTGCTGGGCCAGGACCGGTATCAGCGCAGATACACGGCCTTTCCTCACCTCGGAGGAGTTCTGGTGGAGGGTCCTGAAGAGCTTTTGGGTGAGTCTAATAAAAAAATGAAAGGCTCAAAAATGTACTTCTTTTCAGTATTTGTTCATGGTATCGTTTCTGTTCCTCTCACAGGTTCAGAGGACGTCCTCATAGCTGAAGTTCCAGTCACTTTCTTCAAGAAGGAGCCCAAAGTTGAAGACATTCCCATGACTACCTCTGCGTCTCCCCCTGCGTCTCCCTCTGCTCTGCCTTCTTCTCCCATGTCCACGTCCGCCACTGAGAACCAGACTCTGTCTCCAGAGGTGGACCCCCTCCCAGGGACTGCATCTCTCATGAGCAGACCCCGAGGACGTGGTCGCCCCCGCAAAATCAAACCAGAAGTGGAGCTCCATCTACGGACGGCGAAGAGTCGCCGCAGGCGTCGAAGTAGTGTCAGATCGGGCAGTGACGAGGGACCGGGGTCACCCAGCATTTGCCCGCAAGACCTCACGCAAACTGCTTTCCAGAGCTGGCTCAACCAGACACAGGAGACGTTAGCCAACGGAACCTGCCCAGCAACGGAGGCGGCTCCTGAGGGGAACGGACCAGAGGAGAGTAAGAAGGAGCTGGCAGAGAAACAAGGACAGTGGTTCAATGTGCTTCCCAAACAGCCCTGTGACGATGTCTCCCTAACTGAGCTCCAGTCGCCCAGCTCACCGCCCAAACTTCAGCCCACAGATCCTCCGTCTGCGCCTGCTCCTCCACCTCAACAGGTTTGTCTGCTGTGAAGTTATTCTGCTTCTGAAGTAACTTTGTCTCTAAACTATTGTTCCATTAAGGACTTCTGTCTCTCTCTCACCCCTCCCTCTCAGCAGGACCCCCCCTTGCCTGACTTGGCTCCATCTGACCCTGTAATTCCAGCTCCACCACCAGACATTCCCCCTACAACCGTTGATTCTGTAGTTCCTGTCACCACCTCCCCACAATCACCACCTCCACCACCACTTCCTCCAGCTCTACCTCCTTCTCCTCCAGCTTTACCACCACCATCTTCTCCACCACCACCACCTCCTCCACCTCCATCTCTACCACTCCTTCAGCCTTTAGCAGCTCCTATTCCTTCTGCTCCAGTTGCTCCTAACACCCCAACCAGACCAGGTCGCAGGAGGAGGCGGGGCAGCAGAGGCAACAGTCCTGCCCGTAGAGGACCACGAGGCGCTGCAGCCAAGCGCCGCGGCCGCCCTCCTGGTGCTGTGTTCCAGGAGCTGGAGCAACAGTATTTCACACAGCTGGTGGTGAAACCCATTCCTTCCTGTGAGTACAGTCACAGTCACTTAGTCTAAATATTACAAGCTGTAAGATGTCTGCACAATTTGTCCGGTCTAAATTTTCGCTATTTCGAGTGTTGTTCCACCAATTCACCACACGGGGGCAGTACAACCCCAGCCGCAGCTCCTGTTAAACACAATAAAATGTGATGCTCTTCTTTAACATGATGGTGGTTAAAAGCTTTTTTTTAAGCTAGTTTTTATTTTATAAAATTGTTTTTACATTTTAATTTTAATTTAATCCTGTGTTACCACTGATTTAAGGAGATCTTCTTTGTTCTCTTGCAGCGATGGTGCGTGGCTGGTGGTGGATCAAGGACCCAGAGGAGCTGTACCACACCTTACAGGCCTTACATCCCAGAGGCGTCAGGGAGAGGGTGCTCCACAAGCATTTGGCCAAACACATGGAGAGCTTGACAGAGATCTGCAGCAAACCCATCGACGGTGAGTGGGCGGCAAACGGAGCAGATGAGGAAACGCCCGGTTCTCTGGAATCGTCGCTCACCTTATCCCAAAACTGTTTGTGTCTCATTTTACGGTCAGATCCAATATTTGACATGAAGGTGGAGCAGAAGGACACGTTGATGGAGGCTCTGCAGCAGCCGTGGCTGGTTCAGGAGAAGGCCATGGAGACCGACGTCTGCGCCCTGCAGTGGGTGGAGGACCTGGAGCAGCGAGTCGTTGGAGCTGACCTCCAACTAAAGGTAACAAACAGGTTTCAATCATTTTAGACAGAAAAAGTCTCGAAAACTCCAGGAAGACGAGACTCCAGTGAATGAACACAATAGAGCTCAGATACCTCAGGGAACATGTGAACAGTTTCCAGCAAGAATCAGTGTGATGTTAATTCATCATAATCTTATGTGTATGTCATGTGTTCCTCAAAGGCACCTCCTCAGACTACCACCAGTGAAGCTGACGCTAACATAGAGGCAGCAATTGCAGAATTTCAGGTAATTATTGTGACTTTCCCCGGCCGTCGTCATCGTCGTCGTTCTCTAACCCTGGCTTGTTTCTTCAGCCTTATACAATCCCTGATCCGGACTCTTCGCGGGACGATCTCCAGTACTACGAACACGATGCCGACCCTCGCGACGATTGGATTTTGAGGACCAAGAAGGAGTGGTCCGGTCTGCCCCGCATCGCCACACATCCTGTGGACCTGGCCGTGCTGCGACTCGCCAACCTTGAACGAAACATCGAGAGGCGCTACCTGAAGGAGCCGCTGTGGAACCCAGCGGAGGTGATGCGCCTCGCCCCTCTCACCCCTACACCAGGAGATGAGCAGCCCCTGGATGCCCTGAGGTCTGTAGATGGACGATGGTGATCAGTTGTTTGTTTTTGTTTTTTTACATTTTTAGAAATCAGACATAAAAAGGACTTTTCTGCTCTTTCAGTTTGGAAAGTGAAATCACCTCCAGACTACGGACCTGGCGTCAGGCTCTGGATCGCTGTCGCAGCGCTCCACAGCTCTGTCTGTGTCTGCTGCAGCTGGAGAAGGCCATCGCCTGGGAGAGATCAGTGACCAAAGTGGTGAGTGGGATTCCTGGTCCTGACCTTTGTCTGACGCCGGTGCTACTATAGATGTTGTTCCCAGTCCAGCCAGGCCTCATGACGTCCTGTATATTTTTGCAGCCAAATTCACCCGAGAAGAGCGTTTCATGATGATCTAATGTGTTTTCCTTTTTTTTTTCCCTGTTAGACTTGTCAGATTTGCAGGAAGGGCGACAACGACGACTGCCTGTTGCTCTGCGACGGCTGTGATCGTGGCTGCCACATGTACTGTCTGAGGCCCAAACTCACTCAGGTTCCAGAGGGAGACTGGTTTTGTGCGACGTGTGTGGCCAGGGTAAGAATCTGAATGTGGAATTAGAATCTTTGGTTTGCGCCTCGTCTGCTCACAGTTAACACGGTTATTTTTACTTCTCTCCAGGAGGAGGGGCAGTTTGAACGACTCTCCAAAACCAGGACCAGGATAAAGAAGAGGAAAAAATACGATGAAAGCAGTTCTGAAGAAGAACCAACAACGCGGCGTAGTTCCGGCATGTCGACGCGAAACAAGGATGTGGCCGCCCCGTCCTCGTCTTCATCCCTCAGACCTCCTGCGGAAAGTAGCGCATCGAAACGCCGCCGCATGACAACACGCAACCTGCCGGACCTCACCTTCTGCGAGTGAGTTTCTCCTTACCTGGAGCAGCGAGTCGTTGGAGCTGACCTCCAACTAAAGGTAACAAACAGGTTTCAGTCATTTTAGACAGAAAAAGTCTCAAACTCCAGGAAGACGAGACTCCAGTGAATGAACACAATAGAGCTCAGATACCTCAGGGAACATGTGAACAGTTTCCAGCAAGAATCAGTGTGATGTTAATTCATCATAATCTTATGTGTATGTCATGTGTTCCTCAAAGGCACCTCCTCAGACTACCACCAGTGAAGCTGACGCTAACATAGAGGCAGCAATTGCAGAATTTCAGGTAATTATTGTGACTTTCCCCGGCCGTCGTCATCGTCGTCGTTCTCTAACCCTGGCTTGTTTCTTCAGCCTTATACAATCCCTGATCCGGACTCTTCGCGGGACGATCTCCAGTACTACGAACACGATGCCGACCCTCGCGACGATTGGATTTTGAGGACCAAGAAGGAGTGGTCCGGTCTGCCCCGCATCGCCACACATCCTGTGGACCTGGCCGTGCTGCGACTCGCCAACCTTGAACGAAACATCGAGAGGCGCTACCTGAAGGAGCCGCTGTGGAACCCAGCGGAGGTGATGCGCCTCGCCCCTCTCACCCCTACACCAGGAGATGAGCAGCCCCTGGATGCCCTGAGGTGTGTAGATGGACGATGGTGATCAGTTGTTTGTTTTTGTTTTTTTACATTTTTAGAAATCAGACATAAAAAGGACTTTTCTGCTCTTTCAGTTTGGAAAGTGAAATCACCTCCAGACTACGGACCTGGCGTCAGGCTCTGGATCGCTGTCGCAGCGCTCCACAGCTCTGTCTGTGTCTGCTGCAGCTGGAGAAGGCCATCGCCTGGGAGAGATCAGTGACCAAAGTGGTGAGTGGGATTCCTGGTCCTGACCTTTGTCTGACGCCGGTGCTGCTATAGATGTTGTTCCCAGTCCAGCCAGGCCTCATGACGTCCTGTATATTTTTGCAGCCAAATTCACCCGAGAAGAGCGTTTCATGATGATCTAATGTGTTTTCCTTTTTTTTTTCCCTGTTAGACTTGTCAGATTTGCAGGAAGGGCGACAACGACGACTGCCTGTTGCTCTGCGACGGCTGTGATCGTGGCTGCCACATGTACTGTCTGAGGCCCAAACTCACTCAGGTTCCAGAGGGAGACTGGTTTTGTGCGACGTGTGTGGCCAGGGTAAGAATCTGAATGTGGAATTAGAATCTTTGGTTTGCGCCTCGTCTGCTCACAGTTAACACGGTTATTTTTACTTCTCTCCAGGAGGAGGGGCAGTTTGAACGACTCTCCAAAACCAGGACCAGGATAAAGAAGAGGAAAAAATACGATGAAAGCAGTTCTGAAGAAGAACCAACAACGCGGCGTAGTTCCGGCATGTCGACGCGAAACAAGGATGTGGCCGCCCCGTCCTCGTCTTCATCCCTCAGACCTCCTGCGGAAAGTAGCGCATCGAAACGCCGCCGCATGACAACACGCAACCTGCCGGACCTCACCTTCTGCGAGTGAGTTTCTCCTTTCTCCGTTGCGTCAGAGACTGAAGAAGAACAAGTCCTGATTTAAACTCTTTCTCTTCTGTCTCACCCAGAATCATCCTCATGGAGATGGAGGCTCACGCTGACGCCTGGCCCTTCCTCGAGCCCGTGAACCCACGACTCGTTCCAGGCTACCGCCGCATCATCAAGACGCCCATGGACTTCTTCACCATGAGAGAGAGACTTCTCCAGGGAGGGTAAGACTGGAGCGTACTTTAACTACTCTGCATTAGAGATCCAGAACATGGCGCCAAATTTTATTAAATAAAATTTAAAGAAAAAAAATTGATTTTTTTTCCACACTTATTTTTATGTGAGAATTTTATATGAGATTATAACTTTATTAATCCCTCCAGAGTTTCCTTCAGGAAAATAAGGAAAGAAATCGAAGGAGACATTTTGTTGTTTTGTAAAATAAATCTTGAAGGTGACACCAGTAATGAGAGGTCGTTCAAATGTTCCGATTATTTCCAGCCTCACTCGTGATAATTGATTTTCAGATTTTTTTTCTCTAACTCCAGCTGTGATTCTCCTCCTCAGGTATTCCAGCTGCGACGAGTTCGCGGCCGACGCCCAGTTGGTCTTCAACAACTGTGAGCTGTTCAACGAGGACACGTCGGAGGTGGGGATGGCCGGACACTCCATGAGGCGTTTCTTCGAGAGCCGCTGGGCGGAGTTCTACTCTAAAAAGGACAAGTAGGAGCCTGTTGGTGGCGCTGTAGACTGTTGGTGCTCCCAGCATCCCACATTCCACAACACACACACACACACACACACACTGTTACTGAAGAGACTCTCTACACGACCACTTCTTCAGGCCAGTGTGTACTCTCTGTGTACTCCCGTGTACAGCTATATACTGTATGTATAGATCTTTGTTATTGTTTTTCTCTACGGGCCAATCAGCTTTCAGGTCCACCACTGAACCGGCTTTAACTCGTTCCCATTCCCTGTAACAGAGCTCGACAACATACCTCTCTAAACCCCCCCGCCCCCCA